TCACAACGCTATGCACTCATTACCATCACAACACATCATACATGTAGGTCCAGCATGATCGTGACATCACAAGAAAAAGGTCTATACAAAATGTTCATGCCGTTATCTCGTCCCATCTGCTCATCAATCTTGTCAGTACTTTGCAACAGAATTTGGTGTAAATAATGTCTTGAAATTCAACCAGTCGACAATAACCCCACAGTGCTTTATGAATCCCAGGTTTCTCTAGTTATGACTCTGAGATTTCTCCTTATTCCCCACAAAAAAACCAAAAACAACAACATAGATTATAGGTTGACAAAGGACATCATGTGCAATCATTAATTTTCCTTGTAATTTAATATCTAATTTGCTGTTGAAGTGTTTGAATTTATCAAAGTGTTTCAATTTTTCTGGCAGTAAAACATGCACCATTCCACTGTAATCTATGGCCACGGTTTAACAAAACAATTCTTACCTGTGGTGAAGGGGTCCACAGTGTTTTGTACACTCAAGGCAAAGCCGAGGGTGCCGTTTGATTACACTGGAAATTGTCAGGTTACAATGGAAATTTGGGTCATTGAGTCAGGGTTTGAGGTGACACTGCCATTCAGATAATGCAGTGCAGACATGCGTTGGGAATCAGGGTTTACAAGGACTGGATAAGTACAATTGGTTTCATCCTAAATTTTGGGGTGGTTGCTAGTGTGGATGGGCCTAGATTGAAAGGAAAATGAATTCTGACTTGGGTGTGATCCTCACCAATTCAGTGGCGAGATTTTGATTGCCGTTATTGTCTTGGGATTGCAGATACACTATAATTGACATTTTTCTCAGGAGGTCTTTTTGAGCAGAAATACGTCTCCAAGCTTTATTGGCAGAAAATGCGATAGCCGCTCTCTTCAGCTTGATTTTCCCTTGCTCCCACCAATCAGTAAGACTCTCAAAAGTGTGTTTGTAATCTTCTAAATTATGCAAAGTGTTCAAAATCAATTCACCAGAATGGTATTCTGAAGATGGGTAGTGTTGCGTTTCCAATATCCTTTGCCTCATTTAAAACTGTTGGTATCTGTTTCGGCCTGAACTCAATCATGATCTGAATGTGGAAAAGCAACAATTGCATTGTGGGAAACCGAGGCCAATTAATGGGACATGTAGATCTGCATTTTCTTCTCTTTCTCCACCGTGTCCTGATAAATAATAACCTCCCCCCTAAGACTTACATGTACATGTATTCTCTTGATCCGATACCAACATCCTTGATGAAAAAAGGCCTTGATTCCCTCCTACATGTACCTATCACTGTTACAATTGTCAATTTATCCCTTCAGACCGGCGTCTCCCCCACACTTTAATCTGCATGGTGACACCCGTTTTAAAGAAACCCAACTTGGATCCGGAGGTGTTGAATAACTACAGGCCAGGGTCCAATCTTCTGTTCTTGAGTAAGATTCTTGAGCAAGTTGTGGCATCTTAGTTGCAAGAATACCTCAACTACAATAAGCTTGAATGCAAGATTCAGTCAGCGCATAGGATCAACCATTCCAACGAGACAGCCTTGACCCGCGTACAGAATGACATTCTCTGTACTTTTGACAAGAAAAAGGAAACTTGTCATCATCCTGGTGCTTTTGGACTTGTCCGCAGCTTTTAATCCCATCCATCAGGGGATGTTGGATTGTTTGGAGCTGCTCTATAGTGTTAAAGAAGCTGCTCTCTGCTGGATGGTGTCATACCTTGGGGATCACCATTAATCTGTGTCTATAGGCAGAGCCTCATCTACCAAGCAGCTAGTATTATATGGTGTCCCTCAAGGATTCATCATTGGTTGTGAAGATTTTACTTCGTACATGTACATTGGGCCAGTAGCTTCTATACATGTACTAAATTCTCACCACATAAGCAGATCATTGTGTGTGGATGGTACACAACTCTACATCACCTGTGACTCATCCTCTAGGGCCCAGTGTGTTGATGCTCTTGATGTTAGCACTGCTGATATTAGATTCTGGCTCATTACCAACAAGTTGATGCTTAATGACTCCAAGACTGAAGTTATCCACATTACTTCGCGCTACCTGAGGAATAAGGATTTACTTCCCTCTTGTGCACATTGGCCCTGTTGAGGTTAACCCTGTAGTCTAGGAACGTAAATTTAGGTGGTTTTTTTTATGATCACATGCAAATGACGTTTCACATCAACAACTTTTGTCATGTACATGTAGCCTTTCATTCTTTCTGGACCATTAGCCAGTTGAGGAGGTTCCTAGATAGCGCTACCACCAAACGTCTTGTTCATGTTTTTATTTCATCTTGACTTGACTGCTGTAATGCCTTGTTGTATGGATTTCCAGACTCTGAAATAAACAAGGTTCAGTGTATTCAGAACACAGCTACTTTCCTGGTAGTTGGGGCTAAAAAGTCACATAGCACTACAAAACTTCTTAATCAACTTCACTGGCTCCCCATTCGTAAAAGTATATTTTTCAAGATTCTTTTGGTCTTCAAATCCTTGAATTGATCCGGCTTGGAGTCATGGATATTATTGAGCGCTTAACTTTATATATTCCTTCTTGCTCTCTTCGGTTGCTGCAGTATCCTCAAGTGGAGGGTAGGACTCTTCAAGTTGCCTCTCAATGCTAGAAGTGCCCCTTCGGTCAGTTGTTTCAAAACTCATCTGAAGGCCTATCTCTTCAACTTACAATCCTCATTTTTTGTTTTTTATTATCATTCTATATTATAATGTCTTTGTTATAATTGAGTTCTACTTAAACTCCAGGTTCTGTCTGTCTTTGAGGGCGGATGCGGGTGACTGACCAGACACCCAGTGCTATCTTCCCCTCATCACCCGGAGGTTAACTGACCTGTGAAGATACTGGCAGGGCCCGGGGCCCTTAAACTGCTGGGAAACGGCCGGCCTTGCGGGATCTTTTTTAGACTAGGTGCTGTGTGTCGGGGATCCCCCCACACCTGACCTCCTTCCCTCTGACATGTCTGATACACTGTAGTTTTCTTAAGCTCTTAGGTGGTACACACTCTATTTACACATATTACTATTCATATTGAACTGAGCGTATTTTTCTTTTTTAAGTTTCATGAATCTGTCAACTTGGTATTTATTGTAAATCGCCTTGAGGTTAATTTAAAGGAGGGCATTTGCTGAATCCATTTTATTATTATAATCCAGACTTTAGTTGTGGTTCCAGGCATTTTGGCTATTATTGAAACTGCTCAACCGTCATTGTTCAGTAAAAACTCAGTTTCCCACAAGTAGCGTTTAGATCAAAGCCTTTGCAACCAAAGAAGAAGAGAGTCCACGCTTGGAGGAAACAACGGAGAAAAGTGATTTCCCCAATGAGGGACTGTCAGAATCATTATGGTCATTTTTTGCCTCCTGGGCAACCTGTTCTGCCCATGTTTTGGTGTGGGTGGCTGCAGCAATGGTGCGACAGGGAGGCTTTCTAGGGGCATTGCGGCTGTAGTAGGCAGAGGAGTCCTCTTCCAGGGCTTGGCTTGTGGTTGTATTAGTCTCTTCTAACAATGAATCACTGTCCAAGGTGATGCCATCACTCCGGCTGGGTGACTTTGCAGACGTAGGGGTGCCAGTGAATGGGCCACAGGGGATGGCCTGGGCCAACCGGAGTGGTCACCACAACGCCCGCTGTGTGCAGCCCTTTGTGGCATGCAAGATATTTGTAGACTCTTCTTTTGTGTTCTTGACTCTGCTCATTCTATAACTTGGGGAGTCAGTGGAGCATGGCGAGGAGGTTCCTGTTACCTGTGGCAGGGCAACCCTGGAAGCGTTTGTTGTATTGGCCCAGTGCGGTGGTCTCTTGGGCAAGGCAGGCAGACAATCTGTGTGGTTGGGCCTTCATTCCGGGGGTGGGGGAGAGGTCATTGTCGCTCGTCCTCGTACATATTGCTAGATGACAGCCGTGGGCCTTGGAGTCGATTGCCAAATGATTGCAGGCACTGGCCATCTTCTCCACAAGTAAGGCACTTTGCCAGGTTAGGGCACTGGTCGCTACAGTGCCCTGATTGCTGACAGTTGTAGCGTACTAGGGTTGCGCATGCCTCTGCTGTATGTCCCCCCTCCCTTCCAACTGCATCTTCTATAGGTAGCCATTACTATAAAAATACTTAACATATCAAATGCCATTATTTCATGCACACAAAGCAAAAATTATATACATGTATTACAAAAACTCGTTGAAAGCTTTCCTAAAAAGAACTGTTTTCAGTTTTCAAGGATTTGTATTTCTCTGACCTTAGAATCTAGTCTATTCCACCATCTGGGTGCAATGGCAGAGAAGGCGCGATCTCTGCCGGTGTGCAGTCTTGTATTTAATATTGCACTGTAACTTGGTTTATCAGCTGCTGACTGTGTATTTCTCTACAAGGATGCACTGCAGGTTTGGAGTAGGTCCTGCAAGTAATTAATGCATTTATATACATGTACATGTAAATAGGCAAATCTTGTACTCAGTCCTGAAATGAACTGGAAGTCCATGTACGGAACCAGTACGTATGAAGTTTTGGTTTTGCACGACATTAGTACTAAGTTTCATTTCTAAAAACAAAAATTTCTTACTTGCGTGACGCTTGATGTATCATTTCTTCAGATAGAAGTGCCTTTGAGTTAACTTTGGGGGAATTAATTTTTGTTTTTTGAAGAAAAACACGTACGTACTCGTGTACGTGCTGTGTCATGCGGAGACACGTACAGACACAAACAGTTACATGTAACTTGGATGCCGAAACTGCCGAGTGTAATTTGAGTATCACTTTTAAATTTGCAAGATGATGGTATTTGGAAGATCTCAGAATGCTGTTTCCATACTTTGACACCCCTCAACCTTCACACATATCAGTAGAAAAATGCCATGTATCCGTTGACCGTTAACTTGGAAAATGGTATCTCCATGGCAACAGATTGGAGGGTCATTGTATTATGATGTGCCCTTGTTAAGCATGCACCTCAAATATGTCTTCTGTAATAGGATTGTTTCTTTCTCTAACAGAATGTCGGTGCGTGAGCGTATTCACACTGCCATGATGTTCAAGCCATTGCCTGGCACCCCAACAGCAGACAACCCACCCAAGAAGGTCATGATCCTAGGGTCAGGGGGTTTGTCGATTGGCCAAGCAGGGGAGTTTGACTACTCAGGATCACAGGTTACCTAGTTTTTTGTTCCTTTCTCTCTATTTTCTTTATCTGAGAGAATTTAAAAGAAAGAAAGTGTCAGAGATTTGTTTTTGCAATATTACCTGGCACTTTATCATATTCATTGGTACATGTACGCCAGCACTGGTATGCCAGTATGAAGTGTTCACTGTGTTAGCAGTCATAGTTACTCATTTTAAAGGCATCTTGTCAAAAGGCAGGTGACTATGGAGGACAAAAAGTGGCTGTCTGCCTTTCTGCTATCAGAGTAGTAGAAAAGCAGATTTTATGTTCTGGTAACAGGCAATTTTGACTTTTGTACTTTTCTGCCACCTCAAAGAGCAGAACAAACATTGTTTGGTTATGCATTTTTCTATTTTTCTGCTTTTTTGCTTCAAAAAAGGCAGATTTTACTTTTTCTTTGTTCGCTGACGGCCAAAAAGCGGAACAGGCAGAAATGAGGATCGAACGTTTGACAACAACGGTGAATTCTACTTTTTGCTTGTTTGATACCAGAGGAGCAATTTTACATAGGCGGCCGAAAAGTGGCCATCTGCTTTTGTGCCTTCCAAGGGTCGTGAACGGGGTCGTGAACCTCAGGTTATGACCATTTCCTTTCTTGGGGATTGAAGACAAAAAACCCCAAAATTACAGTCCACTCTATCTTTTGTAAGAAAANCCGCGGTGATTATGTTTATCTCTTCTATTAAAACAAAAATTATATACATGTATTACAAAAACTCGTTGAAAGCTTTCCTAAAAAGAACTGTTTTCAGTTTTCAAGGATTTGTATTTCTCTGACATTAGAATTTAGTCTATTCCACCATCTGGGTGCAATGGCAGAGAAGGCGCGATCTCTGCCGGTGTGCAGTCTTGTATTTAATATTGCACTGTAACTTGGTTTATCAGCTGCTGACTGTGTATTTCTCTACAAGGATGCATTGCAGGTTTGGAGTAGGTCCTGCAAGTAATTAATGCATTTATATACATGTACATGTAAATAGGCAAATCTTGTACTCAGTCCTGAAATGAACTGAAAGTCCATGTACGGAACCAGTACGTATGAAGTTTTGGTTTTGCACATGACATTAGTACTAAGTTTCATTTCTAAAAACAAAAATTTCTTACTTGCGTGACGCTTGATGTATCATTTCTTCAGATAGAAGTGCCTTTGAGTTAACTTTGGGGGAATTAATTTTTGTTTTTTGAAGAAAAACACGTACGTACTCGTGTACGTGCTGTGTCATGCAGAGACACGTACAGACACAAACAGTTACATGTAACTTGGATGCCGAAACTGCCTAGTGTAATTTGAGTATCACTTTTAAATTTGCAAGATGATGGTGTTTGGAAGATCGCAGAATGCTGTTTCCATACTTTGACACCCCTCAACCTTCACACATATCTGTAGAAAAATGCCATGTATCCGTTGACCGTTTCTCCATGGCAACAGATTGGAGGGGCATTGTATTATGATGAGCCCTTGTTAAGCATGCACCTCAAATATGTCTTCTGTAATAGGATTGTTTCTTTCTCTAACAGAATGTCAGTGCGTGAGCGTATTCACACTGCCATGATGTTCAAGCCATTGCCTGGTACCCCAACAGCAGACAACCCACCCAAGAAGGTCATGATCCTAGGGTCAGGGGGTTTGTCGATTGGCCAAGCAGGGGAGTTTGACTACTCGGGATCACAGGTTACCTAGTTTTTTGTTCCTTTCTCTCTATTTTCTTTTTCTTAGAGAATTTAAAAGAAAGAAAGTGTCAGAGATTTGCTTTTGCAATATTACCTGGCACTTTATCATATTCATTGGTACATGTACGCCAGCACTGCTATGCCAGTATGAAATGTTCACTGTGTTAGCAGTCATACAATGTAGTTACTCATTTTAAAGGCATCTTGTCAAAAGGCAGGTGACTATGGAGGACAAAAAGTGACCATCTGCCTTTCTGCTATCAGAGTAGTAAAAAAGTAGATTTTATGTTCTGGTAACATGCAATTTTGACTTTTGTACTTTTCTGCCACCTAAAAGAGCAGAACGAACATTGTTTGGTTATGCATTTTTCTGCTTTTCTGCTTCAAAAAGGGCAGATTTTACTTTTTCTTTGTTTGCTGACGGCCGAAAAACGGAACAGGCAGAAATGAGGATCGAACGTTTGACAACAACCGTGAATTCTACTTCTTGCTTGATACCAGAGGAGCAATTTTACATAGGCGGCCGAAAAGTGGCCATCTGCTTTTGTGCCTTCCAAAGGTCGTGAACGGGGCCGTGAACCTCAGGTTATGACCATTTCATTTCTTGGGGATTGAAGACGTATAAACCAATAATTGCAGCCCACCCTATTTTTTTATAANAAAAACGTTTAATCCACTTTCCAGCTTGTTTGACAGGTAAAAAGCAGATGGCCACTTTTCGGCCGCCATCAAAAAGAGGAAAGTTAAACTACTTTTGTAGTAGCAGAAAAGTGGAAAAATTCATTACAATAAATTGATCATTCTGCTTTTGAGGTAGCAGAAAAGTAGAAAAGCCAAAAATTGCATGTTACGAAGATGTAAAATCTGCCTTTCTACTATTCGGATAGCAGAAAAGCAGATGGCCACTTTTCGTCCTCCAAAAAGGTGATATCAAAAGATGTAACCTGCATATTAGCCCTAACCCATTTGCCCATTTTGCTAGGAAGCATCCTCATTCCTTAAAAATCCTCTGATTGCCCAGCCAAAAAATACATTCAACCTTAATCCTCCAAAATCCCCCAGCAATTTCTGTCATTGTGTTGAGGCAGTGTGAATTTTTATTCTGGAGCAGAATGGATGATTTTATGCATGATGGAGACATGAATTTATGGTTGATTGAGCATAAACAAACAATTTAACCCGCGACCTTGTCAGTGTGGGTTTCTTCACACCTTGCCAGTTTCTATTGTTGAGGCAGTTTCCAAGAATTGTTTTATTTTCAGAGATGCACATTTCCTTGCATGAACCAATGCATGTTTCTTTGGTTGATTTCAGGCCATCAAAGCACTGAAGGAAGAAGGCATACAATCCGTCTTGATCAATCCAAACATTGCCACTGTGCAGACGTCCAAAGGAATGGCAGATCGTGTTTACTTCCTGCCAATTACTCCTGAGTATGTGGCACAAGTAAGTAGAAATGGATTCAATTCTCATCAAGTCCATTTAACAGCGTGAAGAAAGTGGGGAAAATTGAGGGGATATTACATGTAGGCAGTGTTAGTGTGTTTTGTCTTCTGGAAGGAAGTTTGTGCCTTAACTAAATGAGTAAAATGTCAGGCCACTTTAAGAATTCATCTAGCCAAGAGAAATTTGTGTTATTTTGTTATTTCTTGTGTTATCCTTGATCTTTAATACCAGGTTTTTTCTATTCCCACATGTAAAGAAAGTGTGCAACACCATTTAAAAAACACCAAATGTATTTCTCAATGTTAGTTCTATGGTTGATAAATTATGGTTACGTTGAGCAAAGCATTTCTGTGAAAGTTATCCTTTTCAAGGTTACAGCTTGAGGATGCTTATCTCAATCATGACCGAGTAATTTTTGCCACGACAAAAACAGGTTATAGAGAGTGAACGTCCAGATGGTATCCTGCTGAACTTTGGTGGTCAGACTGGCCTGAATTGTGGTGTCCAACTGACCAGCTCTGGTGTGCTGGACAAGTACAATGTTAAGGTCCTGGGCACACCGGTCAAATCCATTATTAACACAGAGGACAGGAAGATATTTGCCGACAAGATGGAGGAGATTGGAGAACAGGTTGCTCCCAGCCAGGCTGCCTATTCTGTGGATCAGGTCAGAGCATTTTTAGCTCCATAGAATGCCATTTCTATTTGACNTATCTCAACTAAAGTCATTTACGCTATCGTGTAAATTTAAATGTAGCAAGCTTTGCTTTCCTTCCTTGATTCACATGGAGGCAACTGGAACTCAAGCATGAGTCCAACTTATCTCAACTCTTACCGAAGTCTTAAAATAAGATCTCAACTGTCATAATTACAGATTAGGCCTTCACATGTGGGACATGTGACTCCCAAATTACCCTTTTAATGCAAATTGTATGGTAAATAACTGGAGTATTTCATCCTTTGTGCCTCGCAACTTGGACTCAATCTTGACCAGATAGACCATTTCACACCTCCAGTCATAGAATGTTACATCTCTGTTAAAACACGGATGAATAAAATTTTAATTTTTACAGTGACATAAAAGTGAATAACTAGTGCACATTGGAAAAATATCTAGTGAAGTCATCACCAATACTCATGGGCAATATGAAAGGATTTGTCTACCAAAAGCATAGTAAACAATACCTGATACTATATCTGAACATTTTCTTCACTGTAATTTTTAACAGGCCATTGAAGCAGCTGAGAAGATTGGTTACCCTGTCATGGTACGTGCAGCCTATGCCTTAGGAGGCTTGGGTTCAGGCTTTGCCAACTCGAAGGCGGAGCTTGTTCCCCTGGCAACTGCTGCCTTCGCACACACTAACCAAGTACTGGTGGACAAGTCACTGCGTGGATGGAAGGAGGTTGAGTACGAGGTTGTCAGGGATGCCTTTGATAACTGTGTTACGGTAAGTCAAAGCATAGAGGCAACAAACAGACTGAAAAGAAACCTGGTCAGACATGATCTATTAATTTCTCCAGTGGTTGACAAACTTAACCACTTCGTGCCAGGCCCATTTATCCATGTTGATTCTGCTGGGCCGGGTAAATTTTCATTTTTTCTGTTTTTTTTTTAAATTTTTTAAAAATTCATAACTTCATTTACCGGACATTCACACTCACACGAATGACCGTCTGGTGGCTACTCTAAACTGACAGACAACATCTACTGACGCCAGGCCTGCTACCTTGTAAAAAGAGCCCAGATTGTGTGATGTTATGTAATTTCTTTTGTTCCCGAAACCGGCACAGTGCGCTGCTGATGTCTTTTCAAAAGGGGCCAGATTAGTGTGCAGCAGTATTGTATCACTCATCACTGGAGCGCTTTTGTCCCTGGTTGTAATCCACTTGTGCTGAATGCCACAAACAGTGGTATAATTTTTCAAAACAATAACGGATTTCCTCCGCTGTTGACAACTGAAAAAATGTTGAAAATTCCCAGCAGCTTGGTCTTTTGTTCTGAGTATGGTCTTTTGTTACAAGGTCCAGCTCTTTTGTCCGATTTCGGGCACCCCGGCAATGCATATAAAGCCAATATCTCCAAAACCAGGCTCCCCGGCAGCAAGTGGTTAAAGCAAGAGTTGATCATCATCCACCAAAGAAATACAGGCCTCGATCTTAGGGAAAAAAGGGCAGGCCACTTTGGCCTTGCCTTCATCAAATTTCAACAGGGCACCAGGCCAGCTCAAGGGGGCACCAAGGCCAATGATTTGGAAACCTTTGATTTTCATTTTTGACAACCAGTCATGTCATGAGTAGGCCTATAAGCTATTCAGTTCTTGTACACCATGCCACCCCTCCTTTAATAAAAGGCGTTTATCATGCTGCTATTATTTGTCGCATTCACTGTATTAAATTATAATCATTTTTAATTAATTACAATTACCCGGACAATTTTTTCCTTCAGAATCCAGCCTCTGATTTAATGCTTGCTTAGATTTTGTATCCCTTTCCCATTAGAATTCAAGGATTCCTAACCTGCTTAATTTTAAGTTCAAAATACAATAAATAGTGTTTATCCTTTTATTTAAATGAAATGGGGATCCTTTTAAAATGTTTACTGTTTGCTAAATGATTAGGGAAAACTTCGATCAAGTTGGCATTGTGCCATCGTAAGTCGGCCTTTTGATAAAAGTACCATGTGTTGATGCATTTCCGTTGATAATTTTTAAGTAGGCCTTTATAAGCCGTTGTTTCGTTCAAGTCGGCGTGTTCTCTCAGTTCCTTTTCCACAAAACCCCCCAAAAAATCCTTGGTATAAAGTGGGCTGTAAGCAAACAATCGATTTCTGGAGCTTCGTTGTCGATACTGGCATGGAGTAGGCCTACGGTGATGTACATTGCATGCGTGCGAGCGCGACCACAAAGGGGTTTCCCCGATATTCACATCAATACCAGTACCTCCTCTAGTGCAGGCGCATGCGCTCCGTCCCTTTTTAGGGTTGTCCAATTGAACAAAGTTTTACTTGCGGCCGGCCCCCCAAGATCCCGCGTGCATATACGCGCGGCGCCGGTGCATGACATTTGTGCTGTGTGATGTGCTAGCATTGTCAGCACAAACAGCATGCACGGGTCGTCCTCAGTACAGACGGAGCGATGATCAAAATCCAGGACAAACTTACCTGAATCAACAATGGAGATAGATCAAAGCAATTGAACTGGTGCAATGCATTATATTGATGGTATTAAGGCAGCACGCCACATAAGTCGGCAAGCAGCACGTCGGCATTTAGAAGTCATTATGTTTTTCGAATCAAGACTGAGTGCCAACTTTGCCGGAGTTTACAAGTTTATAAATACTTTCACCCCTACTTTTTCTGGAAAACAGGTTTTCAAGCTTCTGGCACTTTGAGTCCTCCCATAAGAAAGCATCCTTTTAGCATTTCTTTATACGATCATGCGATCGCGATGGCATGATTTTGAGATATAGGCCTAGGCCTAGCGAATGGTCAAAACTTATTCTTAACACAATAAGCACTCGCCTGGTTTCCGACTGATAATGATATTCAAGGCTGCATTCGCGCGGTTACTCCCGATAACCCGAGTGTGGATGCGCGTGCATTACACTTGGGTCAGGCGTATACTCCTGATACTCTGTGATGGGGAGTATACTCTCGCTGACCCGAGGACAGTACTCCTGCCGTTCGTGCGTTCGGGATAGCACTCGGGTAGCACAAGTAGCTTGCTCAAACGCAGCCCAAAAGGTTGAACTCGCCGAATTCGGAATCGCACTGCATGCATTGGCTTACATTGTACACTCTCATTACACATACAGCCGGCTGCAAAGGGGGAAGGGCACGATGGCCAAGGTGGCCTCGCGATGTGAGTTTTTGGAAGGGCATTGCGGCCAACTTGGAAGGGCACGCAGCCAATGGCCGCGGTAAAGATCGAGGCCTGGTAATACCCTATGCAGAAGAGATATTGGTACTAAAATTGTTGTACCCCATTAAATCATAGAAATAAGTAAAACCAATTTGTGCCTTTGGAAAAATACTCATTTTTTCGTGGACAAGAAACTTGCACCTTTTACCTGTTTTGGACATTCATGCAATAAACAGGCATTCAAAGATATTGTTAATCGTCTTTCATGCATTTGTGTAAAGACCCCATGTAAAGAGAGACAAAATTGTGATTACACCAGGCCAGTGAACACATGTGGTCAAACTTCAGGCTAAAAAGTTGATACTTAAATACAAATCCCTTCCATTGACACATGATAGAAGGTATTTTGACAGTTGACATTATAATTTGGCATTCTCCCAAATTACACATGACAAATCAAGTTAATTATTTTATGGATGCCTTGGGTTAACACAATGTACGCTTCAGGTTGTATTGTATTTTGAGGATTTTTCTCAGGTCAGTACACTGGTTTATTTGCATTGTATTTTCTTTTTTGTTTACTAGGTTTGTAACATGGAGAATGTAGACCCCTTGGGCATTCACACTGGTGAATCCATCGTAGTAGCTCCAAGCCAGACACTGACAAACACTGAATATAACATGCTACGTACAGCCGCCATCAAGGTCATTAGACACCTTGGGGTTGTAGGAGAATGTAACATACAGTATGCTTTGAACCCACAGTCACAGCAGGTGAGTGGTGTACTCCCAGGAAATGAAAGGCAAGCATTTGCTTAGTTACATAAAAGACGCCTTGCAACAATACTCTGTTTTCCATGGTAAAGAAGGACACAAAGGAACCAGTCCATTCCAGAGATGGAGGTGGCTATGCAAAAGGAACCAGTCTGTCCCAGAGATGGTGGTGGCTATGCAAAAGCTTGCCCCAAATCTAAAGGTATAACAACAGTGTCTTTAGTTTGAGGAATTCAGTTTATGTGCAGTCAGATAACTCAGTGTACCAAATGTTATTCAAATTTAATGGGAGACTGTTTTTAATGTTTAGAAATAATGAACTGTTAGCTTCCATATTTTAGTTAATAGCCCGCAGATACTTACAAACAAAGCCTTACTTGATTTTCCCAATGCCTTTTTTGACAGTATTACATCATTGAGGTCAACGCCCGCTTGTCTCGTAGCTCTGCACTGGCTAGCAAGGCCACTGGTTACCCCCTGGCTTACATTGCAGCCAAGCTGGCACTCGGTATCCCGTTGCCTAAGCTGACAAACTCTGTGACTGACTCCACCACAGCCTGCTTTGAGCCAAGCCTGGACTACTTGGTTGTGAAAATCCCCCGCTGGGATCTAAAGAAATTCACCAAAGTCAGCAAGAAGGTGATTGTTTTCCCTATTGGATTTGCCCATTTTTGCCGTCTGCCCATGAACGCATCTTTTTTCATGGTTCAGTAACACAACTTATTGTATTGTTAAGTGTTCCTGTTACATGCTAGTTGTTCCAATATGCTAATGAGATCAAGATGACCTCTGACATAGTGCAACAATAAATATCTCTATCTGACATTGTTCATGAAAAGTAGTCCATAACACATCCGAGCCTTAGTCTTAAATCTCATGCCTTTACCCCAATGTCGGGGTGGTACCAACATTGATACTTGGTGGCTGGGGTCAGATTCAAACCCATGCAATCACAATGACCGATAACGTGGATTAAACCTCATTGTGGGTAAGTATCCCTCGGCGTATCCCAGAGCTGTCTAGAACAGGTTCTGTTTTAAAGTATTTTTCCAGTGATGGGACCACCATCCATTGGGAAATAAAGCTTATTGTTTCCTCTGTCAATTGATGCATTGAAATAATGCTCCTTGGATATGTTTTGTCCAGATTGGCAGTTCCATGAAGAGTGTAGGTGAAGTGATGGCAGTAGGACGTTGCTTTGAGGAAGCTTTCCAGAAAGCCCTACGCATGGTCAATGAGAATGTCAACGGCTTTGACTGGGACATCCAGAAAGTTTCAGACGAGGTGATTTGAGTTTGATCTTTAACAAGGGATTGCATGTGAAATTTCCAAAGTTTTTAAAATTGAAGGATGTGGAATTCCTCCAGAGCATTTGCAAAGATGTAAATAATTTTTATTTATTTTATTTAATTTTTAATTGTAAATAATTCTATTTGGTATAGAATACAAGAAAATCACGTGTATGATGCAAAAAGTGTTGATGTTGAGCTTGCCATTTCTCCTCAGATTCTTCAAACACCTACCGACGAACGCATCTTTGTCCTGTCTGCAGCCCTCAAGGCTGGCTATTCCATTGACCACCTCTACTCCCTGACCAAGATTGACCACTGGTTCCTTCACAAATTGCGCAATATTGTTGACTGTGGAGAACGACTGGAAGCATTACGGGGAACCAAGCTGACCCGTGATACACTCTTAGAGGCCAAACAGTTAGGCTTCTCTGACAAACAGATTGGCAAGCTCATAGAGATGTAAGTTACATATGATATTACTACTGTAAAGATAATGTTATTGACATGAAGGCACCAGATTAACTGTCCTTGAATACTTACCGTTTTCAGTAGCCCATCACTGCTCCTTGAGGAGGGTTGAGGTCGACACTTATTTTGGAGCAAATGGCTAATTCAAAGACAACAACCATCTCTGCTCTTTTAGGCCCTAATTTAATTCCTAAATAAATAGAAGCAAATATCAAGCGTCTTGCCCATTGAAAAAGGTCAAACACTCCAACCACAGTGTGCAGTATCACTCGGCCATCTTCATTTAAGTTTATCAGACTACGAGACGATAGCTGTCTGTAGCATAAAAATGATTTTAATTTTAAGACTTAGTGACATCATGGACAAACTAGTTCCTAGCTCAGTGTGTAATTCACACATGCATCAGAGTTGCACTTAAGTCATACTGACATGTGACGCTAGCACAGGCTCCAGCACTGTCCCTGTGACACTGTCATTTAAAAGGCTTGTCAGACATTGACAAGCCACTTTGCTTTATTTACTGCATTCTCATGTCCTCTCTTTCCCACCCAGGACAGAGCTGGCTGTTCGGAACATCCGTCACTCCTATGACATCAGGCCACATATCAAGCAGATTGACACTGTGGCAGCTGAGTGGCCAGCCAGCACCAACTACCTATACCTGACCTACAATGGAAATGGCCATGACCTGGACTTCCCTGGTGATTTTGTCATGGTGATTGGCTCAGGGGTATATCGCATTGGTAGTAGCGTGGAGTTTGATTGGTGTGCTGTGGGCTGTATTTCAGAGCTCAGAAGGGTAAGTGATGCTTCATCATGTTGAGGGTACAACCCTTTTTTCGGAATGAATGACTCCAACCCAACCGTTTTTGATATATTCTTTTGTCCTGGTGATGATGTCATTTGGAATTTACCACTAATGTTCCTGTAAAAAAACCTTGTGGAATACCTCTAGAAATACCACTAATCAACAACTGGTGCGTGTATAGAAGTAAATTGCCATTTAAAGGTAGTGATTTAGAAATCTTTTCCAATGTTTTGAACACATTGAATCACAGGATGTTGTAATCAGTTTCCATGAGGGGTCCGATGCTCAAAAAGTGCAACCATGATTTGGGATTAATTTTTTTTGGCTTTTTCGCTATTTTGCGAAAAGGCAATCTTTTTGTTCTTTTTTTTTTCTTCTTCTGCTCAAAAGCCCGTTTGTTTTGTACACGTTTTTTTCTACCGGTGACTTTAGTGCTTTTGCAACTTTGGATCATCATCAAACTTATGCCAATGACGAACGCTTATGCATAGATGGTCCTAGAAAGATGACATCATGATGACGTCATCAAGTGATTTATTATCGATTTTTAAATATTTTTTTAGCCCATTGACTTTGTACACATTTTTGAGGCACAATCATTGATTGTCGTCAAACTTGCAGCAAGTACTAACTATAAAACAAAGATAATTCTGAATTATTTATGTCATGATGACGTCATCATGGGATTTATTATTAAATTTTGAATATTTAAATATTCCGTTAAATTTATAGAACTCCATATAAAATCGACCCTGGCCTCCCGCAACTTTCTGTTTGCAGCAAGTGCCAGGAAAAAATGTGGTCTTCAATTCATCACGTGTGGGTCAAATCACGTGACCCTTCCTTCCAGTCGAAACCGGAAGTGGTCTTATTGTTTAAAAGTGGTAATAGGTATCGAGTTGTTTTTAACGGTGTTAGTCTGCTTGTGTATAGTATTTTTCAAATTATCTACAGATGACGTCACCTAATTGTCAAGCGCCCTCTAGCGACAGGTTAAACATTCTGAAAAATGAATTTTGAATAGATTTCTGTGGCGAAGTTTGTCCGAATCGCCTGAAAATTGATGTACATGTAGATGACCATCTTTACCTAGTCAACACGTGTGTGAAGTTTGGGGCTGATGATGTCATCAGACCAGAAGTTACAATAAAAACTTCTTTTATTCTTCAAAATTTGGTAAAAAATCAACCGTAAGAGGTATAAGCATGAATTGTGCACGAGATGACAGCTAAAACATTGGAGTCATCTGCATGAAGTGCATAACTGGTGTACTTTTTCACACACATGAAGCGCCGCCGACAAAAGCCCCCTAAAATATAAATTGCCAACTCGAAAATCCATTAACATGCTGTGCATATGCTACTGTGTGTGTGTGGATGCCCAATATCTGCCTGCAACATAGACGGCGCACAGTGCGTAGGGCATATACTCGGGACTTGGCAAAATGCCGACCACATGCTGCCGAGAGCTGATCACATTATATGGAATGCCAAAAGGGACAACTGTTTCAGATATCTAATCTGTGCCATAAGTTTAATGTTTTTTATTGTATATTGCATTGTACATGTCTTATTGGGTTGAAACCTTGCAGGTAGTTAGGAAGGGAAGGTTTACACACGGAAATAGACCTCACGTGATGACAGATGACATCAGCAGACGAGTCACATGACATTAAATGCTGCCTCACAGATATCTTGAAAAGAGAGTGCTTTAGAGGTATAATGACCATATGTGATGGTGACGTCATCAGAGACAAGTCACGTGACATTAAAGGTGCACTAGTTAAAGCCCAATATCTCCTGAAGTACGTGTTCTGTCAGGTTGAAACTTTGCAGATGACTTGAAAGAGAGGTGTTATATACGAAAAATGACTTGATGTGATGATGCCTTAGATGTTCAAATGTTCAAAAGAATGCGAAAAAGCCCTCTGTTCTGTTGGCAAACAGACAGATGACCTCTCGTCTTTTTCTTTTCTTTTGTTATTCTGAAACGATTGTATTGGATTCCTGCATACAGTCCAAGCAGTAAATAAATCCTTAGCTTTCATCATTTATCTTGGCATGAATATTCAGAATTTTCCACTGATTGTCTTTCCTTAAAACAGCTGGGCATGAGGACTGTCATGGTCAATTACAACCCAGAGACTGTCAGCACAGACTATGACATGTGTAACCGTCTTTACTTTGACGAGATCTCCTTTGAGGTGGTTATGGACATCTATGAGATAGAGAACCCTAGAGGTGTGATCCTGTCCATGGGAGGTCAACTACCCAATAACATTGCCATGCAGCTGCATCGTCAGCAGGTTAGTGTGGTCAAAAGAGCTCAAATGGATTGGAGGTTAGTTTGAGGTTGATATGGGGCCCACCACGGCAGCATGAGGCCCACCACTGCAGCGTGAGGCCCATCACAGCAGCCTGAGGCATTTGACATTGAGGCAATTATGTATTCCAACTCTGAATGTGCACATTATCATTTGGCAAGTATTCCCAAGCAAAGCTTTAATAAGCACAATGCGACCAAATTATTGCTAATGCGATTATATTTTCACAACACTGTCACTATTTGCGACTTAATATAGCTTAAAACCTACTGACAAAATTTACTTGAACAAATTTTTTGAGTGTGACTAAAAATCAAAAAATCAATAATTATGTACTCAAAATTCGTTCTGGAAAAGTAGAAATGGCAGCGCAAGTCACATCGGGGATTTAAAGCTTACCGTGTGTGCTGTACATATACATATACTATACTGTATTGTGTTGTGATCACGCGCACTTGTTGGTTCCTGATCTAAAAAGTTGTTGTTGATGCACTGTATACGGACACCAGGGCCATTTTACAAACTATGACATGGGCTCCATTTTTTTGCTGCAACGTAAATGAAGCCTGAAACAGAGTCCATGGTGGAATTAAAGGGTGTCGCTGTGATTTAGAGTGTCAGAAATACCGCGACTCATGCAGCAGGGTGTCCTGTGACACGCTGAAACTACGGATGTCATAATGTCTGTGGCTGAACCCCTTGGCAAGAACCCTGATTTGGGGGATTGACCTCATTGGCATTCGTGTGCATACATGCGAGATGATTGTATGGCATGGATGAACGATGTAAAAACAGAGTATTTATGCAACATGTGTGTATGCATGCTCATGAATATTCAGTGCACGTGATTACTGAACTTTCATAAACGTGCTGGTGCCTAGATTTTTCCCCATTAGGAGCCAATGGCTACCAAATAATTTTTTCTGTTTCCAAGTCAACCCGGCATTGACATCAAAACCAGCAGTCTAAAATTTGTCTAGTGGTTAGAGAGAATATAGAGATCTAGTTGTCTTTAAATTGAACATTTGAAATCATTGTAGCATTTGCAGTCTTTGTGATTTGGAAATGGCAGGCATGCGAAAAAACCATCCCTGGACATTTCCAGGTGTGTTATTTTTCTAGGAGTGTGATTTTGAACAGTGAATCAAACCTTGGGTCAATGAAGACATAGTAAAATACAAAGATAAAGTTACATTAAAACAATCAACAAAACCAACAGTCTGGTGTATGTAAGCATTATGCATTCAGCAATGCTTGCTGCAGTGCTGTGCGACGTGGGTGTGCTGAACGATTGTACACTGACAGAGCTGTCACGCAAAACTGTTTTGCCAGAAGAATCATAAATGATTCTGTCATCACTAACTGTTAGGTAGGCCTAATGTTTGATTCTTTTCATTTCATTTTTCTCAAAAGTTGCAAAGTACAAGTATAAAGTAAACTCATGCCAAGGAGTGCGGTATGGATGGTTTCAGGCATGCAATTATTTTCACTTCTCGGGAAGCTTTTAGGCATGTGATGGTGTGGGAATGCAATCGCACGCCTTAAAACGAAAGGACTGCATTTGGAACCTGTAAAACGTGCAATCCAGAGCTTGGGAATTTTGTGCTTGTGTACCATTGCATTGTTAGTTCATTGTCTGTTTACCATGACTGTTCAATATTGGGTTTGTACTCTGTCTCACATTGTTTAACTGTAGTACATGCATTAATTAAGGCTTCCAAAGGACCTGTAAGGGCCAAAATGCTTCTTGTGTGGGACTCGAATCTACAACACTTGTCTCCTGTTCTGAAATAACTGCTCAATAAATTAGTCCAGTGAAATCCAATTGACATTGATTTGATATCTTTGTTTGACCAGTGTCGAATTCTGGGTACATCACCAGAGAGCATCGACACAGCTGAGAATCGCTTCAAATTCTCCCGTCTGCTGGACACCATTGGGCTGAACCAGCCTCAGTGGAAGGAACTCACCAACTTGGAGGTATTGGTCAAAAATGTTTAAAAGCGGAGTCTGTGTTGAATTGTAAGGATCCCTTTTAAAGATTGGTGTTGTGGGGTATGGATCTATGGGATGGGATCAAAATACATTGACCATTCCTACACATTCCCTGCCGTTCTGCACGCATTCCTATTCAACCCCGTTTTGAAGGGTACTTCAGAATGCATTTCTACACCGTTCTCTGGCATGAGTCATTGAGGGTGTATTGTTACGTTAATTGGCTGTATCTTTGCGTGCGAGAATGGCACTGTCACCACAAAGATGCTTAAGAAAAATAATTTGCAGTGGATTGGGGAAGAAGTAAAAGCCACAGGTAATCTGGGTTTGGATAAAGAAAGGCTGAGGTTTTTTGGCTGATTGGCTGCTCAGAATAACAAAAATGCAGTGGATCTGGGGAAGTAAATTAAAAACCTCACGTGGTCTAGGTTTGGATAGAAAAGAACTGCCAAGAAATGAAGAATTCATTTTTTGGCGAGATGTGTGCTCGGAATAAAAACACGTACAGTGTTGCAGGAAAAAAAATAAAAACCCTCATGTTCCAGGTTTGGATAGAGAAATGCTGAGGTGGGAAGAATTATTATATTTGGCCAGGAAAACAAAAGCCTCACGTGGTCCACAATTTCGATAAAGAAGTGCCAAGGCAGGCTGTCAATCAGAAGACGCAACCAAAACATCTGCTGGAAAATTTACATTGTTAATACGTGACAGTCGGTCGGCTGTCAATCTTTGGTTGGAAAGAGAATTTATTTGGAATACACTCGTGATTTTATTCCCATGCTAAGTTTATTTTTGTCTTGGTCTGAACTACAATGAACGGCCTGTGAATTTTTCTCATGAAAACGGGCCTTACATAAATGATTTTTTTTTGGGGGGGGGAAATTACTTTTTCTATAAAGTACTATCACTGACCATTACATTCCGTGACTTCCCAATCGATGCCAACAACTGACCGCTTGCATTCATCATCTGAAGTATCACCCAAAACTGCTAGCTGGATCCAGATGTTTCTGGGTGAAAACCTTTCCATAAAAGTAAGTCTGTGAGGCACAAGGACTGTTGGATTGTTTCTAAAATGTGCAAAGGCGGGAATATCTTTTCTGCTGAAAAAAAAAAAGTGCAGTCAGTCAGGGCTGAGAATGTTTTTGCCCAGGTTTCGATGAAAAAGTGTTGAAATGGGTAGACTAAATTCTTGTAGGCAATAATGCAATCTGATCGAGTGGGATACAAATTGAAATGAAAATAATAATGTGATTGGTGGGGCTCACAATCCTACCCCTATTTCTAATCGGAAGAATGCTTACTCTGTGAGTGCTGAAATTTTTTTCTTTAAGTTGGGTAGGCAGGCAGGCAGGCAGGCTGCATATACCGAATGAAAATAATGGTGCGATAAGGCGGCGCAGAAACCCCAAAGGCTCAACTCGATAACAAACACCCATCTGAAAACATTATACAGTGTGTGTCTTTTTTGTTGATGAGAAGAAAGGCATTGTTTTGTGGAATGTAGTGCTTAACTGACGGTGCTCTATTGGTACTTCAGAGAATTAAAAAGGAATGCGTCACGCAGAAGATTGGCCCAACATTTAATTTTCCCTGCCTCGTTGCCAAGAATTTTATTTCCTAACCACGGACGGTTGTCAGGTCACCATTTCTGTTTTGGGAACTTCACATTTTCGCCGCATACGTTTTGTACCACCATGGGTGGCGCAGACATCTTGCTGGGTGCACAGATTATGACAGGCCTTATGTTGTAGAGGAACCCGAGGGAACTGGAGGGCCGTTCTTACATGTGCTTACTGGAAGTTGCTCAAACAAAAGAATGCGCTACTGGCATTTGCACATGTGCAAACAGTCAATGTATTTTGATTCCACGCTTAACCCTCCTATGCTGAAGTCACTCTTTGGGTCACTTGGTAAACACCTCAAAGAAGCACAGCTGTGTTGTGTTGTGCACTGCACCAACATGCAAGAGAGTGACCTTGGGCACTTGTGCATATTTGTGCTGTAAAACCAAAGGAGGGTTAAAGTGTGTTTCTCAGTCAAGAGACTGGTGGACACTGCTTCAGGGATGACCTATATATATTGTGAAACTTTGATCTTTATGCAGGCTGCCAAGGAGTTTTGCATTAAAGTGGGTTATCCATGTCTGGTACGTCCTTCCTATGTGCTTAGTGGTGCAGCCATGAATGTTGCCCATACTCATCATGATCTAGAGGCTTACCTGTCAGAAGCAGCAGCTGTCAGCAAAGACCATCCTGTGGTCATCTCCAAGTTCATCCTGGAAGCCAAGGTAAGAATAGTTTGCTATCTGATCTATGTGTGTGATCATGCAGGAAGGACACAGAAGGAGTTTGAACTGCCCGGGCTATAACATCTGGCCAATTACTGCTTTCTGGCATGCCCGGTATGTCCATAGCCAGAGCGCAGCGCACGCCTGCTACCCACCACCTGTTTTGCAACCATAAGCTCCCTTTGTACCCCATGATCATTGCCCCAATTTTGCATTGGTAATCTGCATCCCTAAAACGTTGTGTACTGCAGTATAGGAAGTTGAATATTCATGCCATCATTGGTGCTTGGTATGATCCGACAACATCATCAAATGTAGTGCTTGTGCAGTTCCTCTTATTAGGCTGTGTACCTGAAGTGTTCATGTGCAGTTGTTGCCCTTATCGAACGCTTTCTTTCTGGACTTCTTTTGGGAATAAATAGCTAAGCTGTTCGTAAGATTGTAAGTTTCATTTGAATCATTTTTATTACGGAATTTACACAAAAAGGTATTTTATGAGATCTCATGATCCCTCCTTTTGATGAAACGGCACATTTTGTTTTTCGTGAACTTAACTGTCCTGCGGTGTTCAACATGTTGTTGGCCAGTCTTTAATAGCCAAACTCTTACAAAGACTTTGACAAAATGATATTTTGGAGTGACAAAATTAAATTAAAAAATATGCATGGATAACGGAAAAGGGTATCAAAATCTTTAAAAAGTTATTCAAAATGGCAAAAGTAAATCTAATGATATTTTTTCTTTCTGTTTCCTGGTCGCTGCAATAAGATGTAGTTAATTCCAAAGAAAACACGACAAATATTGTTATGATATTACTGGCCCCACTTGTCCGGCTAAGCTGCAGGCAGTACTCAGGTATTTTTTTAATGTTTACTATTGTTTGTCTGACCAGGCGACGATGATCAGCGAGCACTTTGATGTGCCAGAGTTGAAACTCCTTCTGTGTCCTTCCTCCATGGTTTTATGTTGTGCTGTGTTGAATGTCTTCATCCCTAATGCTTTCATATGTTTTAAAACCAGCCCGGACGTTTTTGGGGTTTCAAAGGATTTTAGCAACCCTAGTCTGGCCACTGCTGCTTGATTCCTTTGGAACATGATTCACTTTAAAGTTTGAGTCCCCAAAATACAGTTTGAATTCATTTGGTTCCTTAACAGTGGTCGATTTTGCAGTGATTAGGAAGGTGTTGAACATAGTGCCCAAAGAATTGTGTGAATTTTTTAAGCTTTGGTTCCTTATATTTGTGAAGATGCACTCACATACTCCATTAGTCAAGTTGCCTTTAGTCTCAGTTCTGTGACTTTCCTGTGGTTTATTCTACGAAAACGAATTGTCACTTTTTGAGGGTGCTGTCTCCTGACAAACTGCTGTCATCCATGAACCATTGTTACAGGAATGTTTTGGATAGTTTGTTTTCCAGGGCAGCAACAGACTATGATAATAGCTATTTTTCATATGACGGGAGTGATGATTAGCTGAAATTATGCAAATGACCTACAGTATTCATCACATTCATGCATAGCATTTTCAAACCAAAACATCAGCCAGCATGGTTTACTCGAATGCTCAGATCTAAGCACACACAAAATATTTTTCTGTTAGACAATGAAGGTACAGGTACTGTACATAACAGCTAAAAGTGCTGTCCTCAGTTTCAAAGCATTCTGAAAATATTCTGTTTTAGGCAAGATTGTCATTAAACTGTGTTCTGACTTTCTTTATGTTTGTAGGAAATCGATGTGGATGCTGTGGCCAAAGATGGACAAATCATTGCCATGGCGATCTCTGAGCACGTTGAAAATGCTGGAGTTCACTCAGGTGATGCCACCTTGGTCACTCCCCCTCAGGACCTGAACCAGGAAACCATTGATAAGATCTTCAGCATCACCACGGCAATAGGCCAGAAACTGGAGGTCAATGGACCTTACAATCTGCAGCTTATTGCAAAGGTAGATTTCTAGAGCACAAAGATGATACAAAGCTTTGAATTTAGAGAATTAGTATTTAATGACCACCTCCAATAAGCCATTTTGAATGTGGTTTACCATCTCTGATGCAATCAGTTTTTCAAGAATAAACCTTACTGTAAAATTGTTGAAAGATGCTGTCTAGCTTGTAAATAGGACAAAACAGGAAATACACAGCACTGTCTATAATTCCAACTTGCCCTCTTTTGTGTTTAAAACTAATACAGAAATGTAAGGATTCAAGACTGATCTTTCAATTTGCTGTTAAACAAATATTCTGGATGTGGAGAAATATCTTTCTTGCTTAAAATTTCATGAAGTTTAGCTCAGCTAGATGGGCTAAGTATGGCAGTGCTGCCATTTGTGTGTGCTACTGTCTTTTCAACAAGCTAGTATAGTGCTTACATGAATATTTCCATGCAATAATTACACAGTGCAGTAAAATGGACGTGCAGACAGGTACCTTCACAAAGTTCTGTCATTGGAGCTTGTATTTCTACACTCCCCTCCCGTATTGACTCAAAGCAGCAGTATTGCAAGAAGCCTCATGCTACATTTTGTTAAGGATCGTGGGCCGGTTGTTGTGTACAGTAGCTGGCACATACCATCCAATGCTGGCATTCTGCTTGGGATTATGGTGGCAATTTGTTATGCACTGCTTAGATTTTGTCATGAACGTGCAAATTAATCGTGATGTGATCTGCAAAAATCCTTCACATGGTGAGCTTTGTCATTTTGGTACATATCAATTCAAGTTGATCGGGAAACTGTCCTATTTTCAAAAGTGTTTAATTTAGGATTCTAGACAATCTAGATTCATGTTGTAGACAACCTAGAATCATAAATGTAATATGTCTGAAAACAAGAGTGTGTCCATATTAATTGGAAGTTTATATGCACCCAAATGACAAAGCTCACCATGTGAAGGGTTTTGGCAGATCGCATCACAGTTGTCCAGATATTTGTACTTGATAGCCCAACTTGGCTGCCCAAAATCCTTAATTTGTCATTTGGTTTTTCACTCTGGTTTTGCGATCCAGGACAACCAGCTGAAGGTGATTGAGTGTAATCTTCGTGTCTCCCGCTCCTTCCCTTTCGTCTCCAAGACCTTGGATATTGACTTTGTTGCCTTGGCAACAGAGGTTGCCATTGGTGAACCTGTTGAAAGTGTTGGTGCCCTTGCTGCAGGCACAGGAAAAGTTGGTGTGAAGGTAAGAACCATACTTTTCTGCCAATCCATGTATCAAGTGTGAAATAGCTACCTAATCTAACAAGGAGAATCAGTTATTCAAAAAAGGCTTTGATGACAACTTAGTTAGCTCATTTTTGCCAATTATTCACAAAAAGGGACTTCTTTTGCCTTTGTGTGTATTCTGTAGTCGTTACAATTTGCTTTTGCCTTAACATGGTAGAAGATAAAAAGAAATCATCTAAAATGTACTCTTATTTTTGGAGAAAATTGAAACTCAGTAGAATGTTGCGCTTGAGGAGGGTGAACAATTGTTTCAACAACAAAGTCCAGGTCACCATTTTTTAAAAGCATACAATTTATGGCCAATAAGGTAGTTTATTTTAGTATTTGCAGTTTTAATATTGTGTCAGAGAGCTAGTAAGTGATAATTGTATTAAGATGAAATTCCTCATACTACCAAAGGTCTGAGGGTTTCAATAGCTTTGTGTCTATGAGCCCAAAACTTGACCAATAGAGTGCGCACTTTTTATAAGAACGAGAGCTCTTTGTTAGAACTGCCCTTCGTTGGTTCACAAACAACCCTAAAATGCATGCGTTACTGTCAAGTCGCTACCAGCATAATGAACACTCCTGATCAACATGGCTCTGTTCAATCAGTGAGGGGGTGCTTCTGTTCAAGGCAGATGCTTTTCTTTTGTTACATTTTTTAATGTGTCTAATTTTTTACTTACGAAGGTTCCCCAGTTTTCATTCTCTCGTTTGGCTGGTGCCGACATACTCCTTGGTGTTGAGATGGCGAGTACTGGTGAAGTGGCATGCTTTGGAGAGGATCGTTATGAGGCATACTTGAAGGCCATGCTGAGTACAGGCTTCAAGATACCAAAGAAGAACATTTTGCTGTCGATAGGCAGCTACAAGGTATGAGTTCAAATTGTCTAGTACTAGAATTGAGCAGTTCCTACCGAGTATTTTTGTGGCATGGACTCTGACTCTGTCTGGTAGTTGGGATACTATTTTGCTACTTGAGACTTTGGTGGCAGTAAACATTCTTGTCCCAAGTGACGAAAAAAAAAAATTAATAAAAACAAAAAGAAAAACACAATACTACACAAGGGTCCATAAAAACTTGTTAGGTAATTTGATTAAGAAGCTTTGACAGAAAGGGTATTGCACTGTTACCATATCTGTTGGTTTTGTAATGAGGGATCCGGTAATTATTGGAATTTCTAAGAGACATACTGAGGGCACTGATATTTTGGGGAAACCAATTTGCATATCTGTTGGATTTTATACATTTATTAGTGAAATGGGAGCAGAGATGACGTCTTCTGTCTTCCAAAGATTGGAGGCCTAATGAATTAGAAGCATCTTCATATGAGATGTAATCAGATCCAAGGATAATACGACAGGCACGCTTTTGAATGCAGTCGAGTTGATCAGCCTGATTTTGGTTAATATTACCGTGCCAAACTGGAGCTGATACTCAAATAGGGGGAACATAACAGGTGTATACAGAAACCATGTCATTGTTAGGCACACCAAACTTTTTTTAAGCAACCAAGCATGTAGGGCCTACGACTACTAAAATGTGTGTTCGTTCTGGAACTTATTTTTTTTGTAAATTGTTTCTGAAGTTGCAGTTTTCATGGAAGAAACATGTCAGTCAGCTGTTCGTAGTGTCTACATGGAATTCACTTGTTCCCAAGATTGTCTTACTTTCGGTGAAGTCAGTTCATCCATAGTATTGTCTGTCACTGGCTGGAATCAACTCAGGACTGAGTCAGTCATTGAAGAGAATTGAATCCTCTGAGTTTGGAATCGATTTCAGTTCTCATGTAGTCACTCAAGCCTATCTCATGTCAATTTGCAAGAAGACAAAGAAATTATTGTTGGATTTGATGAAATCCACTGTGTCCTTTATCTATTGTCAGTTTGTAGGCCTGACTGCATCCCATCTGTTTGTTGGTCCCTCTCCTGAAAGGTTATTTCATTTTCGTGTGTTTGTTTCACTTGCACAGGGTAAAGTAGAGCTTTTGCCTGCTGTGCGTACCTTAGAGAACATGAAGTATGAGTTGTATGCCAGCATGGGTACAGCTGACTTCTATAGCGAGCATGATATTAAGGTGAGATCACAGACTAAGGCTTAACAGAAACAAATTCACATTGCAGTGTGTTATACAGGTCTGTGCCTTGAACAAGAGTTGGCTATCAGACACTTGCTGGTAGATGCTTGATACTGTCATATTTACTGCTTTTTCAAGACCTAGGCCCAACATCATGGCCATGTGTACATGAAGGGGAGCATCTTTGCTTACAGAAGCAGAATAATCTGCACTTACGGTTACTGTATTTCACAGGTTAACAAGGAATTTATGCACACACATATGTTCCTCAACTAAGGAGCTTATGCATAGAAGTTGTTTTGCTGTGAGCTTTTAGCGCAGAATGGTAATTGTAAGCACAGAATTCAGTGGATGACAGAGCGCTGAATTTTTACCTGGAATGATAAATAAGTCCACAGAGGACAGCAGTTCAGTTTCCAACATTTGACCAATATAATTATTGCATTCACATAAAATCCAACTATGTGTCTGATTCTATCTTTTTCTAGTAGAATGCTTATTGGTTTTGAAAACTTTACACATTAAATTACCTCGTGGTTTTCAGATCAAGGCTGTTGATTGGCCGTTTGAGGACACCGGTGAACGACGCAATAAAGACCAGGAGTTGAACATTGGTGACTACCTGGCTGAGAAGCACTTTGACCTGGTCATTAACCTGCCCATGCGTAACGGCGGCTCACGCCGGGCATCGTCTTTTGTCACTCGTGGTTACCGAACACGACGTATGGCTATTGACAAGTCAATTCCACTGATCACAGATGTGAAGAAGGCAAAGCTGTTCATTGAGGTAATACTCATTTTGTGGTATTGAAACACTAGTCTGCAAA